GGCAATAAAAAGCTGGCCACTGTGTAAACAACATGGCCTAGTCTGTTCAGCCGCTGCCATGCCAACAGGGTGGCTTCCACTCTTCAGCCAATCACATGCCAGCTTTTTGACAAGTGGAACAAAAAAGCCATCAGATGTTTTGCCATTGCCGAAATTTTAATAAAATAAAATATTATATACTGCGTTTGGGTATGCTTTTTGGATGTGACATGTCCTACGTTTTAACATGCTGTACTGTTTTATTTTGTAAGTCTTTTAGAATTATTGTGAATGCAGTTTTTTTATGACGTATGAGTTTTGTACTGTCACAACACGAGACCATTTACAATGTGAAAAAAAAAGCTGATTATGAATGGTGTAAAGTTTACAGTAAATGGAATGGTGACCAACACATAAATACACACTTTTGAATTTATTATTTATTGAATTCAATTATTATTTTAAGATTTATTTAATTATTTTGTCTTTCTCTTTTGAAAAATGTTTGGGCGCTGTAAGATTTGTTTATGTTTTTTTAAAGAAGACTCTTATGTTCACAAATGCTGCTTTTATTTTATCTATCAAAAATACAGTAAACTAATAATATTTTGAAATATTATTACAATTTACGTAAGAACTGTCATTTATTCCTGTGATGGCAAAGCTGAATTTTCAGCATCATTAATTTCCTGATTTGCTGCTCAAAGTAGCATTTCTCATCATTACCAGTGTTGAAAACAGTTGCTTAATATTTTTGTAGAAACAGGGATACAATGTTTTCAGGGTTCTTTGTTGAAAAGAAAGTTCAAAAGAACAGCACTTATTTGAAATATATATATTTTTTGTAACATTATAAATGCCAATTTAATGCACACTTGCTGAATAAAAGTATAATATCAAAACAAAGTAGTTTTTCACTCATACAGTAATTTCAAATAAATGACATTTAATTTGGCAGCAGACCCCCATCCTCCGGTCCACAGCTGGCCCACTGATAACATACAGACAGCATCTTCACACTCTAGAAAGCACAGTTCACACCCTTAGAACCGAATACACACATAGCCAGATATTTAGAAAGCAACAGCACAGTCATCCATCATATGAGCATACAGCAGAATCTGAAGACTGGCTGACTTCTAAAGAAGACAATTACCATCACAAGAACAGATCACAGTCCTGAAATCTCATGAACTCCTCGCGTCTTGCCCTCTCTCTGCATCTCGGACACACACTGAGGGGACTGTGGCTTCTGCTCAGATCGCTGTGGGTGTCCCTGTGTCCCATTGTTGAGAAGACACTGCTTTGGGGAGGTCCACCATTAAGACCAGTGTCTTCCTTTTGTTCTCATACACTCAAACACAATCCTGCTTACCCAGGAATCAAAGGTTAGGCTAGGAGGGGATGGAGGGGGTCGCAACCTTTCTACTGCTAGCATTCAGCCATCACAGTCGAAATCGCAAGCCATGTCTGGACACTAACCATTAGTACTAGAACTGATATCATCAGTAAATCAGTTTGTGTAGTGCGCAGGTTTTTCTGCCTGTTAGTGGCACTGGCATAAATGTGCATTTTTATTTCAAACTATTGTTCAGAGTCATTATTGCTTTCTAAAGGTATAGCTACTCAAAGGCTACCAGTTTTCCGAGTGTCTGTCTTAGTTAGTGTGAGGAATGTCAGGGCAGGAAATGATGTTTATCTTTTACAATGTGAGCAGGACAATGCCTCCGTTGAGTTGATTCTTCCCCCAAAACACTCTCTTGAGGAATTCAAAAAATGCAACAGTAAAATAATGTGAAAGCCTGAAAGTGCGATTTTAATCTTGCAACTTACACCAGACACGCAAATAATAGAATTAACACCTTTTTGAATGCTCAACATTTTACTTGAGATTTACAGCATGGAATTCATGTTGACATGCATCTTCAAAAACCTTCAATTCAATTGAATTTATCCGAAACGTTCACAGAGAATCACAGAAATCCTTTAGCATCAGATAAAAGATACTTCTCCAGCTATGGAGCGTCCAATAACTAATATATACAGCAATTATAAGTATCTAAAGTTAAACGGATTCGTTTAAATTTAATAGCCATTAATACGCTACAGAAGGATGATCAGGAAGAACTCAAAAGAGGAGCAGAACACATGCTAAATCCAGGATAGTAAACAGAGTCTCCAGCATACGAGGTGAAGTTGGGATGGGAATTTGACTGGCAGTAAACCGGGTAGCTCACAGGGGTTTCGCAGTACTGGAAGTCCATGAGTCGCGGGACAGAAATTGGCTGTTGGGATGTTGGTTCACAGTGCAAGCTGGTTTCCATAGAGGCTGACGGGACAGACTGCAGGTTGGAGCAGGGCATTGTTGGGAATGGCGCGCTCAGGGGGGTCAAGTGTGTTGGGATCTCTGGAGGCTGGGTAGGAAACAAAGTGTGTGAGTGAGTAAGATGGGAAGGAGAAGGTGCTTTGGTGGTGGGAAAGGACACTGGCAACATGGTTGAATGCTGTGTTGTGGCGTCACTGGAAGGAGGTACAGGTGATTTGCAAGAAGAGATGACTGTTTTGACCTCCACCTTTTTTTTCTTCCCTTCAACTTTCACTGCTTCCCCATCCGAATTTTTCATTGCTGACGGTGACGTCGCCTTCTGACACTTGAAGCGCTTTTGGCGGCGCATGTAGCAGCCGTTTTCGAACATGTTACCGGAGTCGGGGTGCAGGGCCCAGTACGAGCCTTTCCCTGGCGAGTCTGGCGATCTCGGTACACGCACGAAGCAGTCGTTGAACGACAGGGAATGGCGGATGGAGTTTTGCCATCGTTGTTGATTCTGTCTGTAATACGGGAAGAGTTGTCGGATCCAGTCGTAGATCTCGTTCAGGGTCAGTCTCTTGGCTGGCGACTGCTGGATTGCCATGCTGATTAGAGAAATGTAGGAATACGGCGGTTTGGCATGGCTTAAGGTCCGTCTGTAAACTGATTTCAGTGCTGGAAACTCAGGTTCGTTGGAGTGGCTTTCAGCGTATCCTTTGGGGTTTTCAGGAGGCAGTCTCCCCACTGGGCTTTCAAGCCTCGCGGTGTTTCTCGCAGCCACTGAATCACACGATGGGCCGTAATTCTGGTAGTGATGCTCTGGGGGGGAATATCCTCTGGGGCCCAACGGCAGACTGTCTGCTCCATAATACACCTGCAAAGATGAGAAATGACCATTACAATCGAAAAGAACATTATTATGAATTATCATGTGAGGGCCAGAGTCTGAAATAAACCAAGGCCTATAGTCGAAAAAAAAAATCACACTGAAAATGTGAAACATGTCCCCTAAAATTGCATTGATTTTTTTTTTTAAATCTGTTTTTTAATACTTTATGTGTTTATAAATATATAAATTAAACGCAATACAATTATGGGCTTTTCTTTGACCAAAAACGATTTAAAACAATGATTAAATCAAAAAACAGAATAACCTATAATTTTTTAGACTCACCATTTATTTCAAATGTTTATTGTTATGATCTTGTGCATTTTATTTATTTATAATTAACAGCATTACATTGCTTGTAGTTCGTTTTCAAATAAAGTTTTATGCATACATGGCTATTTTGTGTGTGTATAGGCATATATACATACATACATATATATATATATACATATATATATATTAGGCTACATTAATTAATGGGGGTACCAGCCATTAAAATGGCCCATCAAAATAAACCATTATCTTAATATCTTTTCTGGGTTACATATTATGCATTTAAACTCATTAATATTGGAAAATGAGTTTGCATCATTTGGACTTTTATTGCTGACGTCGGCGCCCACAGATCCATGCCTAATCTTTAGCCTATATCATAACCAAACCTTGGCGCCTTGGGTAACGCCATGGAGCCTAACAGTAAATGTATTCTGACCACCCACCCGGCCGATAACCCCATTATCCAGCTAGTCCGGCTTTTCTTCTCACCCTTGTTTTGTCTCTTTTTAAGTCACTCACCGTCCGCCTTTTTTCTATCTCATGACAGAGGGGTATTTGGGGTACGACTGCTGTTCTCAGTTGTTCTTTTTCCCCAAATTGACACCGTTCGTAATAATTCGGCCCTTTCAAGTTGGAACCGCTTTATTTCGGATTCCAAAACGCCCCTCTGGTTATGAGCCCGTGCTGGCCGATTGTGAGTCATACACGAGTGTCAAAGCGCGAGACATTCAATACAATCACAGAGTCAATCAATTAACTGCTGCGAGACCACACACACACACACACACACACACACTGGCGCAGACACGATGAAAGCACACGATTAACCATGGGAACATTAATGTGACTGTGTCAGACAAAAAACTTCTAACGGATTCAAGTCACCTGTTCAAGACTTTATATTGCCTAGAAAAGTCTTAAAGGGATTTGACTAGGATATTATTTTAAAAGGATTTATTTGATTGTTTTGACTGAAAAATATGTTTGAATGAATTAGAATAATTCTTAAAGAAAAAATAAGCTATGTTTGAAGAGTTTTCAAACACAAGGCAAATTTGTTTTATGCGTCAATTAGGTTTAGGCTATATCAGAATGGCATAGGCTAGCTATGGCATATAAAAAACGTCATTCATATGGAAAAAAGGAAATTTGTAAAAATAATAAATAAAACAATTATTAGGCTATAGTAGTCTATAGCCTAACTTGTGTTAAATTTAAATATTTCCTCCCAAAACAACTGAAGTTAACAACAATAATTACGTATAGCCTTTAAAAATTAAAATGATTATGACTGAAAATTACAGGTGAATTGAATGAAATATTTTTTCCCATGGGAACATACCTCGCTGGAGTAATATGACATCCATTGATCGCCTCGCTCACGTTTTACTTCGTCAATCATATCGTCTGTTATTCAAATAGCCTAAATAACGATTAATTGAAAAATAAAGTAAAATTCCAGAGTGAGTTTGAAATAAAATATATTTCAATCTCAATTTGGATCTCAGAGCATCTGGAAATCCCACACTGTGTTTGCAAACTGCTGGATGAGTCCAGTCAGGAAAGTTTGGAAGTGTGCTGCTCCTTCTATATGAGTGCTGCTGATCTCCCGCCCTCTGCCCAGCGGCCTGCCCTCTGCTCCACACACACACCCACACACACACACACCCACACACACACACACACACACACTGCTGTACTCAATTTATTTTATTCAGCAATTACACGCCTTCAATAAACAGATCATCTGAAATTTTATTGTCACAAAATTGCCTGACAGTTTTAGGCCTAGCCCAAAAACATTGTTTTCAAACGACTTAAAGTAAACTTTCAAGATAACACAACAATGGCCAGATTATCTCTTGATAATGTAAAGTTACATTAGTCCATAGGGTCTGATCTTTCTTTCTTTCTTTCTTTCTTTCTTTCTTTCTTTCTTTCTTTCTTTCTTTCTTTCTTTCTTTCTTTCTTTCTTTCTTTCTTTCTTTCTTTCTTTCTTTCTTTCTTTCTTTCTTTCTTTCTTTCTTTCTTTCTTTCTTTCTTTCTTTCTTTCTTTCTTTCTTTCTTTCTTTCTTTCTTTCTTTCTTTCTTTCTTTCTTTGTGTAAGAAAGTTTAAGAACGTTTGTGTTATAGCCTATAGGCTATATTAAAGATATTACTATTGATATTATTATAGGCTACTATTTTAATATTAGACATAGTAGGCCTACATATAATCTCCTAAATAAGAGTTGTTTTATGGCTAGGTAATATAATACATTCTCAAAAATATATGTAAACCAAAATGAAGATGGTTAAGAATTGGCCATTTACTGAATGAGCACTGTCTGTGACACTGTTCGTCCGACTGTTTGTGTATTTTATTTTTTATTCCAAACTGTTTTAATTATTCTTATTTGTTTTGATTATTTTAATTTCTTCTATGTAAAGCACTTTGAATTACCATTGCGAATGAAATGTGCATAAAAATATGAATATAGGCCTATAATATTCATGTGCATGTATTTTTCAGCCTGTAAAGTTAGCATTGTGTCTCATTCAGTGGTCACAGCTCATCCTTCTCCCTTTCTCTCCCTCCACATCTCCGTCCTCTCTATTGTGAGAGACAGCTGTTTGGCGGACTGGGGGTGTTGGGTGTCATTTTTATTGATGAAAAGCAAACATTTACTCTGTGTGCCATTTAAAAGCACCACCCTCCTCTGCCTGCCCGTTCAGGTCAGCCAATCAGAGGCCCCAAGAAACACTCCTGCTCTCACAAAACAGACTTTATGAGTAGTTGTGTATTCATATTGTCAAAAGAAAAGGGACAAAAATGTTCATAACATCCTTAAAAGTTCCATAAAAGTTTTGAAAGGAAAAAAATAAACTTTTGTGGACACCTCATTTCCAGCTGTGCCATCATCATCATCCCCATGTGGAGGAAATGTTGATCTATAGCGCTAAGTGTCTCCTGCATTAGATGAAACGTGCTTAAAAACAAGGCAATTAATTACATCCTATTCAGACTTACCCAAGGTGTGAAAAATCACAGGAACTTACTGATTAAATCATCAAGTGGGCATTAACACGGTAATATTGGCAGACTCTTTCTTAAATAAGTAAAGCTTTCTAAACTTTCTTAAATGAAGATGAAATTAAGTTTAAGGCTAAGCATTTCATTGTTTCTCTACATGTTGGTGCCAAAAATATCAAAGGACTGTGCTTCCACAGTGAAAAGATTCACTAAAGATTTAGTTAAGATAAACATTTAATAATTTAACTTTTTAAAATTAAACTGGAAAATGATTGTGGTAACCTTGTGCTCAAGCCTAAATTAAGCACCGCTGGAATTCAATAATTGACACTAAATGCTAATCAACTGAAGCTTAATGCAAATAATACAATGCTGGGTTGTTTTAACCCAAAATTGGGTAAAATATGGACAAACCCAAATATGTAATTTATGTATGTAAATAATAAATATGTAAATAAATGAAATTTAAAATTCGCATTTTTTAATTACATTTTTAAACCAACATTTAGGCTTGTCCATATTTGACCCAAATTTGGGTTGAAATAACCCAGCATTTTTAGAGTCTACATCAAAATATAATTCAAATAAGCAAGCCTGTTTCAGTTAGATCTTTTTTTATTTCATGGAAATACAACAACATTATTATAATTCCTGTTAAGAACCATTTGTTGTACATTGCATTATTTTTTCCTTTTTTTGTATTTCAAAACATGATCACTTGTACAACAATATGAACAAAAATCTCATCTCACAAATAGATCCATGATGACAATAAATTACACCTGTCATGCTTTGAATTTTTTAAAACAGCACTTCCTTAAATGCCAAAACATTTATCCATCATCATTCACATATGAACCCTTCCAAGAGCAAGAAAAATCAACTTTTATGCATAAATAGATTCCTGGAAAATACCCATGTAATTCAACAGTTATTTAAAAACAGATTTAAATCAATCTGAAAACTCCTGAAAAAAAAGCGAATAACAGAACATGATGAGCATTCATGAGGTTACATTTACAATAGCCACATAAATTACAAAAACTGAACAGAACGCTTGCCAATCTGTCTAACACTGCTGAAGCGAAGGGCCTGTGTAGGTTAATACTGAAATATTTCTGGAAGTTTTAGTAACCATATTGAAACAATGGATGTCCAACATTTTCCCTTTTTTGTCTGTTATTGGTCAAGGTAATGCAGTCCGTAACAACTAAGAGGCGATTAAACAGATGTCATCACAGCACAAATCCAGTTATTAGTACTTTAGAACGGTGAACTGCTTCACTAGTTTACACATTGTTATTGTGTATAAAGTTGTTCAAACGAACAGTCCGTAGACTGCGATTAAACTTACAGAAAAGATAAGTGAGGTTACTTTTCAATAGTTGAGGCAATACCAGTGAAGTACCAATAAAATTAGAACAGGAACTACAAGCAAATGTCCACAGCATTTACAACGATGGATGTTACAAATGCAAAGATCTGTAAACCAGTGCTGTAATACAATAAAGAATTTGGTAAACAATTCTGGGCATAAAAAAATATTTGAAGGGGGAGAAATTATTGGACATTTGTTTCCATAGATTTCAATGTACTCTTGATTTTTGGTCTATGTATTACAGTATATGGGATTTGTGAGGTACACATGCAAATACTATTATAAATGGAATCAAATCTATATGGGGATGAATTAAAAAAAAAAAAAAAACTAAACTTGACATCAATCATGTTTTCTCTTAATAGTTTTTTATAAATCAAAAGTCATTTAGATTTACTCTTTTTCTTTTTTAACTAGAACTTAACATTTGTTAAAACTTCCTCTGGTGACCTGGGAATATTTTCCCCATTCCTAAATCTCTCAAACCTTTTTACTTCAAATCTCCTTCAAATGTAAAACGGATGTAGAGTGTTGATATTTATACGAGTTAGTTGACATCTGGGACAGACTGAGAAATCTACTGTGTTTTTTAACCATGTGGCGGGACTGGAGGTTTGTCTCTAATTTAAATAAAACTGAGGCAATCTTGAAAGCCAAAGGCCCTGTACTCTACGTTTGAGAGCAATATCACACCAGAGGAAGAATAGGACAGCTGGTAGTCAAAGTTTGTTTAACATGTGGTGGCCAGAGACTGATGTATAGGAGGCTGGAAACAGCGAACATGCTCCACAGTAGAACTGTCTGTCTCCACAGCCTTCATGTACTTGTTGAGGATGGCAAAGATCTCGTTGTTGAGAATCTGATACTTTCTGATGCGGTCTGCCATCTTCTTCAATGGCTGAAAGTAACACGACAAAAAACATTAAATGGGGACATTTCCACTACCATTCAAAAGTTTGGGGTCTGTATGATTTTTTTGAAAGAAGTCCGTTATGATCACTAAGGTCTAAATAGTCACACTTGTGCTACTCGTGGTCAAAAATGGCCGCATTGGAAATGAATGGGAGACAAATATCATTTAGTGAAAACTTAGTACTGCGGTCAAACAAAATCTTACTGAAAGCGCTGAAATCTTATTGATTTAACTTGTTTAGCTCTAAAACTTCAAGAAAATCAAAGCAATAATTCTAAACGTGTTTTTGAATATATATATATATATATTTCATATAATAGTCTTTTGTGCATTTTCCACAACAATAAATGTAAAATTCTGTAACTTTAAGGTTACTTTTTTGAACTTTTTTTCACTTGAGCAAAACTCTGCCAAGTGTCATCTTTCAAAAGAGATCAAACCTTAAGTCTTTGCTCTAAAGTACTCAAGGTTTGCGACAGTTTAAGTGGGAAATAGAATTTTCAGGTCTATGCTCAAAAAGATTATAAATACACCGTAAATATAATTTAGTACCATAAATCCCATAAAATACTAAATATTAAATAAAAAACATAATAGAACTAAAATATAGTACATTCACTTCATTTAAAAATAAAAATAAAAATAAAAAATAAAACACTCAAAGAGCACCACAGGCTTAAAACAAATGTTCTATTAAAAAAAAAAAAATTTAATATGTAATTTATTCCTGTGAAGGCAAGGCTGAATTTTCAGTAAATTCGTATTAAGAGTTCCTTAAAATGGTCACAAATACATCAAGCCCATCCCCAAAGCAAAACATAACCATTAAAAAAAATAATGCTGTTAGGATAATAAATAATAAAGGTAGGATTAGGGGACAGAATATATAGTTTATAAAATATGAATTAACAATGAAGTAATAGATTGCAAATTATTACTTCGTTAGTTTGCAAATGATACTTACTATAAAGCGTAACCAAAATCTTTAGTAAAATCATAAATGTCTGAGGTATGTCATTCTAATAGTCTACGACATCAGACACCCACCACGTTCTTAATGATCTCGTCTTTGCCGTCCTGCCTCTGGACCTTCAACAAATGGTAGCAGAAATCGAAGAGGTCAAAGCGACGTTGCTGTCCTAATAGCACAATGATGGCACAGCCAGCCCAGTTCAGACCATCACCGAAACACTGCCTAAAGACAAAAATACCCCAAACATTTCAGTTTTATGACGTACTGTAAA